TTTGCACAGTGTCTTTGAGCTTCCATTAAATAAAAAAAATGTGGACTTAAGAAAATCTGTTAATTTAAATAGAAATGCAGTTAGTTTAAAAAGTACTTTTTTTTTTTACTGTTTGGTGGTCTTAGATAGTCAAGTGTTGAGGGAAGGTTTAAAAAATGCATGCTGTGTTTTTTGTGTGTCCTCATTTGTTAATTTTCTTTTCTGTTTCCTTAAAAGTCAATTTTGGGGGGGCTAGGGCTATTAACTGAGTCAAGAATTTAAAGGTAAGAAGCCTCCAGAAGTTTTGTTGCCCTAAGGGTGCGTGGTGAGGTATAAGTGATAATTTCAGGATTACGTCAGGGTCATTCGTTTATGTGTGAAATTATATGAATTGGCAACTCATGCTTTTAGCATTCAGGGCTTTAATTCTATCAACTTGAATGGAAAAATTCTCTGTAGTTACTATTGAAATATATGTTAATGCTATGTTCAGTCCTGGTAAGTTTTCAGTTTTGAGTTCATTGGAATCAGAGTCGAGTAGCCACTAGAAAGTCAGGTGAGGGATAGCGCTTGTGTGAACGGGTGCTGCTGGAGTTGCTGGTGTTGAGTTGTGTCTTTGAAGAATTGGACTTCCTCGCTAGACATTTTAATGATAAAAGCCAGTGTTGTGAAGTTGAGAGTTCATGAGATATATTTAAAATGGGGCCTGCAGCCCGCATTTATAAAAATTAATGCACTAATTAGAAATTAATTACAAAATTAGTACAAAAAATGCCCATTTGTTTACATATACCTGCTTTTGTATTACAGTGACAGAGTGATATGCTTAAACTTTGAAAGCCTCAAATATTTTCCTGACCTAACACAGAAAGTTTGTTATCCTGGATCTTAATCACTTGACTTGGTCACTTAAATATGTTAAGCTAGATTATACATCATTCGTTATGTTTATTTTACATAAGAATCTCACATCACATACTTGGGCAGTTTTAGCATACTTCACTAACTGCTATCAGATCAATCTTGGTCCTGTGATAGATTTAGTGTTTAAACAAATTGATAGAAAGTAGGAAGCCATTGTGTTCAGATTTGCCTTTATTTTTTGTTAATAAATTTTGGAAGTCATTGTACTCCTGACCCACTATCTAAATCTTTCTCCCCCAAAGAATTACAGACAACTTGGTTTTTATGTTTCCTTTGTTTCCACTAAATCACATTTATAGTTCTATTCTCAGACCATTTTAGGTATTAATGGTCGACCTAGATATCTTTCTGATTTCTGACCACTAATTTATTTATCAGACTCTTGCCATTTGTGCAAATCTTAACTGTCAGCTTTGTTCTCTCATTTTACATCTTCAGTCTAAGGCAGTTGCTTTCAGGAATTCTCTGTCTTTCAATTAAGTCCTTTATTTTTCCAAATTGTTTGCTTGTTTTGGCATAGTGTCGTCCCATAGTGCTGAGACCTAGGTGTTTTCAACACTGTAGTTGTATTCCTAGTTAGCTGGATAGAGAGGCTTGTGAGAGAATTTGTTGATAATTTCAATCTAGGTCTTACATGAAGTCTTTTAAATAAGGTTTACCTTGTCTCTGAACTGTGGAGTCTAAGCAGCCAGTGGCCTCTCTATTGTACAAACTTACTCTTCAGTTCTGGGAAGTGTTAATAAACTATGAACTTCCTGGAATCCCCTCCCCCCCCCACCTCTTTGGTTCTTGGTTGACCATGAGACCTGAGCAACTTTTTTCCTATTTTCTAGTTTCTACAATTTAAATTTAAAACACTTCACCTTAGGATTTCTCAGACGCTCTTCTCCAACCTATTATAATTAATCTTATGTGTGCCCTTCATATTTTTTTTTCCTCTTCTAAGGCTTTTACTGATAGGATAATCCTGTAATCTCAATCCTGGGAAGGCTGAAGTGGATCACTTGAGCTCATTTCAAGGCCGACCTGACCATTCGCAAGAACCCAATTTAGGAAGACAACACCAAAGGCATTTTGCTTTACATCTTTTTGCTTGGACTTCTTCCTGTTAAGAATTTTCATCGGATGCTAAGTGATCCTTGGCTCACACTTTAAGAATGAACCTCTAGATAGATATTTTTATACTCTGGTTAGGCTTGTGGGAGTTTCCACCCTGCCTGAAGGGTGAGCATCCGGGTTGCGGTGTTCTCGTATCAAAGAGTGAAGAAGGCAGATGTGTTCAGAAAACCATTGCAACTGCTTCAGACACTAGTTTCTTGCCAGCATGAGAGTCCGTTGGCTGCTGGAAGATCTGGCGGTCTTGAGTGACATCAGACTTTAAACCAGTCCTTGGTTTTGTTCATTACCCACATGTGTACCAGTGCTTGGGCTACCACATCTGTCATTGGGGGCTCTGCAGGGGTATTTTGAAATCCCCTCCTTGCTCACAGAATACTGTTTTCTTAACATTTGTTTATAAACTCTTAAACTTACAAAGCTTATTTCCTCTTAAAGTTGGTTGTGTGTGTTGTACGTGTAGGGTGGTTAGTGCTGAAAAGCTTGAGGGAAGGAAATAAAGCAGGTAAGTTAATGTTGACAGCTCATTACCCTTTTAGAATTGGAGTTCAGTATAGAAACACGTTCTTAGTAGACTGTTAGTTAGCTTTGATTTTTAGTTCTGGGTAGACCTGTTTGTATTGCCAATTCTCAAGCAATTCTAGGTCTGCTTCCCTGAGTCAATTTTGTATCTTGGTTTACTAGGTATCTGCTACCAGGTGAGTTTACTTCTCTTCCTGGGGTTCTGTTTCTCCTTTTTAAAAATTCTTTCCCTAAACTTAGTGTGTATTAGAGTCAGGCCATGTCACCATATCTATCCTTTGGGCACCAGGGTGACTTAATTCATCATATGCTGTTCCCAAGTTAGAATTCAGGGTGTTGTGGAGATGGCAGCTCATTCTGAGTAAGTTTGTTACTTTACATGTTTAGATGTTTTCATTTTTATATTTTTATGCTAGGAATATTTCTTTAGTTAAGACTACCTTGTGCTTTGCATTTTGTGTTTAGGATGTTGAGGTATTAGGATTCTTGACAACCAGAAGGGTTGAACCCAGTACCTAGCAGTTTTGTGTTGATTATGAACATAATGCCTGCATTGTTAAACTCTCTAGGTCCATGCTTAATACAATAATAATGAAGTTAATTTATTTTGGAACAATTTCCTAATAGTGCAATAGATTTCTTTATTCTTTTTTTTTTAAAACTAATTTTTTGGCAAGGCTGAAAAATAACGGTACATCTTTTATTCATTGCTGGCCACATTAAAGCTGTTAACAGTTTAGCAGAGTTTAGAACTCTTGTCTGAAAATTTCCTTGGGTAAAATGATTCTAGCCAGTTAAATACACAATTGTGCAAATTCAATTTGCTGTCGTTGAGTTTGCCCTCAGTTGCCTGTAATCTAGTAATTGGGGGAAGGGTGACTGTAATGTGCTTCATAGAGGTGTGTCGGCCATCTACATATGTGAATTGTAAGGCGGTGTTGCCTGGGATTCTTTATTTCACATAAACTCCCTTTAGCTATGCTAATGTATTAAAAACCTTTACTCACAGATAGAATAAACATGCTTTTCCATAAGGTGTTCTAGTTTTTGCTTTTATCTCGTATAAAGACAAAGTTACATGTTTTTATAAAGTAATTCTACATCTAGCACGGAAGAAGAATGTTCAGAAGATTGTTAGCATAGTGACAGCAGCAGTAAGTGTCCGTAGTTGGGAACACACTGACTTGTGGTTTTTAAATTCTCTACAGGCAGATACACTCTTAATGTTTGTACCTTGACCCTCTCATCAGTGATGAGCCATCCCATTATGAATTCACCACTGGCTGACTGAAATAGCCTTGCTGGTTATGTATTTACCCTGTTGTCCTGAGCACTTTAGAGTCTTAAGGATGTTTGGTTGTGGCAGATTTATTGTAAATGGCCTTAGATAATCTTGAGAGTCATGTGATTTAGGAAGGTGAAGGATGTACTTGTAAGGGTAGGGGAAAGAACTTAGGACATTGCATTAGGACCTGGGCATGTGCCTAAGGAGGGAAGCCCTGGGTTCATTCCCCAGTTTAAGAAAGAGCACTTACGATGTTTCAAAATTAGATTCTGTGTAAAGGGAAGGTATTAAAGCAGTCCAAATTTGTTACTTTAAACTTAAAATGGGAGGGATTTTCATTAACTATACTGATAAAGGTTTTAGAATTCTATTTTGGGAAACTTGATGTTTGGCAGCAACTCTTCAAAGTTAATTTGTATCTATTTGTAATTGGATTGGTTGTATTGTTTGCACTCTAGAATTTGAAGGCAAGGTTACTTCCTTGCCTTTAATTGCTTTTAGAAAGAAAATACTGGAAGAAACTTTACGATCTGTTAATGCCAGTACTTGAATGTGACATTTAACATGTCATGGAAACTGCTTTAAATAAATACTTGAGAAAAGGAATTACATAATTGCCTTTTTTGTTATTGTATGAATGAGCGTGATTATATTGAGCTTAATCACATTTTTTGTAAAGCTGGTATGAGAATGAAATGGAATCCTACTAAATTTTGGAAGATGGCCTTTTGAGTATTACAGTAGAGATACGGCTAAATCAGTAAATAAAACTTGGAACCAGAAACTTGTAAATGACTTCCACAATCACTGATCTATAAAGCATGCTACTGCCAATCAGTTCTATGTATTAAGACCTGTCGGCATGTCTTTTTTAGTATGTGGTTGACTTCATTTTAAGCTATAAGATGTCCTCTGTACCGTTTAACATTTTCAGAAGTTACTCTTCCTGGGAAAATTCTGTCGGGACTGTTTCCATTGTAGAGACTTCCTTAAAGACTCTTCAAATGGAGCTTACAGTGGACTTTCACGGGGTTTTAATTTTTTGCACTAAATTTTATTTTCTGAAAGATCACTTAATGTTTATAATGTAGTGCTTTTGTCTTAACAATTAAACTTTTCTAGCACTCATGCATGCTTTGCACTGTCGTTTTTCCCCCTATTTAAGCTATTCTCTTGGATGGTTGTCTTTAATTAAAGACCTTGTTTATAGTTGAGAAGGTAAGAGAACTGTAATGGTTAAACATCACACAAAACTTTAAATGCTGGATCATTTGAAAATTAGTGTTTATATACAAGTAGTCAAAAACTGTATAACACGTTGGAAGAATCAGTACTGGAAAAGGGCTGTTCCAGTTTTCCCCAGAACACTTTTGAGGGTGGTGAGACTATGTATGAAGGTGTTTGGTCTTTGACTTGTGTGTTGTTGGGTGTAATGAGACCACTATTTTTAGAAGAGAGTAAATTTAATTAAATGTTTATTGGCAACATTGAACAAGATCTTCCCAGTAGTAAATACAGGAAACAGAAGGGCACTTCCATTTCCTTTTGTGACTTGTTTTCCTTTTTGTCTTTTTGAGATTGGGTCTTGCCCCGTGTCATTCCTAGCCACTCTGGGATTCATTATGTAGATCATGCTGTCCTGAATTTGAGCCTATCTTGTCTCAACCTCTTCCAAGCATTGGGATTGCAGGCTTGTACCAGCTTAAGTTCTTTTGCAACAGTGGTTCTCACTCAGCCTGTGTGCTGCTGCCTCTTGTGTGGGTGGGGTAGGTGGTGGTGGTGAACAGTCCTGTAACTAGCAAAATAGTTATGAAGTAGCAACAAAAATTTTATGTTTGGGGGCCGCCACATGAACTCTAAGGGTCAAATATTTGTAAAGTTGAGAACCACTGTTTTGGAGGAATGTGGATTTTTATTCGTGTCGGCCTTGCCAGGTCATGATGTAGTTTTAACAAATAACCTGTTTAAAATAGAAGAAAAAAGTAGAAACAAATAGTTCACACAAAATGAATTTCCCAAGTGTCTTGTGAGTTTTAACGTGTTGTGTTGGGTGGGGCTTTCTGTTTAGCAGATAAGTTTGCAGTTTACTACATGAATGGGACAGTGCAGACAGATAATGTACTAGTCCTGCCTGATGTTTCCCTACGGATACTGGCCAAACATCCATTCTTTTCCATCTATAAAACTTCCTCACCTGGGTATAATTGAGGCATGCTTATTAATGAAGCTATAAACATACAGAGGGTTCCATCCCAGAGTGACAGTATTATTAGAGGTAGAGCCCAGGTGACTGTTAAGATTTCTGAATCTAGCCTGATAGTGGCCTGTTCCTTTAATACTATCTCAGGAGGCAAAGGCCGATAGATAAATAACTTAGTTCAAGGCCAGAGTAAAACCCTGCCTCAAGATTTCTGATTCTATTGCTGAGGCTTGGAAACAAGCTTCACATCTGCTGTGTGTATCTGTGAGGTTTTAAGTGAGGAAAGTGGCTGGTAGCCTTCTGCTGGGCGCAGGAGAAAGGGTTAGGATGTGGCAGGGCCCTCTGGGAGGAGCTGTTTCTGTAGGTCTGTGGTTCCAGAGCTATGAAACAACTTTGACAAAGGAGTCTTGTAATATTTGCTGATTGAATTGGAAAGAGCTGAAGGGAAGAGTTAAGGTCATTTCAGATTACTGGAGAGTTGAAGTTTCTTGTACTGAAACTAGAAAAATAAAGTCGAGGTTTGTGAAGGAAGGAAGGAAGGAAAACATAGTTGGAGTTAGGAAATCTATAAAATTTGAAGTGCTTGTGCAAATATCCAGGTGGCTGTAGTAGTTGAGAGTTGAAACTGGTATTCAGAGGGTAGAAGTGGAGAGGGCAATAGGGAGTGAAGAAAAGCACCTTGGGAAATTAGAAATGAACCAAGTGCTGGGCTCTGCTATAAACTGAACGATCACATGATTGTGTTCAACAGAGTCTACTATACCTCCAACAGCATTCAGTGTTGATTTCCTGCCTTTGCTAGTTCAAGGGACTTGATGTGACAGCTTAGGCTTCAGGCGTCTTGGGTGTGCCATGGAAATTATCTCAGTTATTGGGAAGATTAAGAATCTAATTACCAGCACATAGTGTGCTGAATAAATGTCACTGCCCACCGAGCTGCTTCTGACTGTTGATACAAATTGAATTTGGAGACTCCACTCCTGTAGCTCGTGGCATCTAGTGACTTAGCCTGCCTTGGTTGTTGTTTGAATTCTTTGCTGTGCAGTATGCTATGTGCGTAGATCCTGTTGGAGCTGTTGGTGTTGTTTTTCTGATTTCCTAACTTTCCATGGGATTACGGCCACTCATGTGTACAGACCTCATTCTGTTTCTGACATGAGTTTTCTGGGGTTAAGCGTGTGAGCTGAGTTTTCTGGGGTAAAGCGTGTGAGCTGCTTGGTGTGGAGGTACGGAGCAGGGCCACAGCCAATTTGAAGATCTAAATGAACGAAGATGCTTGTGATGCCGCGACACTTACTCTTGAGCCTGAGCTCAGAGACCAGGCAGTCTGAGCAACTGCTTTTCTTCCTCCAGGAAGCTTTCTTCAACCTGTACATTCACATTCTCCAGAAAAACCCTGCTTAAGATTGTGTAAGAAAGGAAGAAAGCATCGAGACCCCTTGAGCCTGGAACCAGAGCAGCAACTGTGCTTCTACAGTGCTAATTGGAGATGAGCCTAAAAGCCTCGACCTTCCAATCTCAGGCTGTGTAGCTTGGGGATAGCATTTGCCTAGTATGCATAAGGTCCTGGGTTTGCTCCCTAGTCCCCTCTCTCCCCCAAGGATTCTTTGAGGCTTTTGGTTCTTGGCTTTCTGTTATGCAAAATGAGGGAACTGGGTTAGGTGATGTTGAAGTGCTTAACTTCTTAGTAATTTACTCCTAGAACTTCTTGGGTTTTGGTCTTTTTTTTTTTTTTTTTGAGACAGGGTTTCTCTGTGTAACTTTTGGAGCCTGTTGTGGAACTCTGTAGATCAGGCTGGCCTCAAACTCAAAGAGATCCGCTTGCCTCTGCTTCCCGAGTGCTGGGATTAAAGGCGTGTGCCATCAACGCCTAGCTAGAATAAATGTTTTATATATAGAATTATAAACCACTAAGTTTTTAAACCAGTTTTCTATAGATTTAAAAATAATGTCTGAGATGTGACATTTTCTTACTATTCAGATTCTGTCAGGCAACAAACTGCTATTTGTCCTGTGTGATCCACAATCAAGACACTCATAATTCATATGGGTGTGGCTATATTATCAGCAAGTGCTTGATTCAGTAAATAACTTTGAAGCTCTGATAATTTTCTTTAGATTGGCTTTTCTTTCTTACCTAAAATAAAAATAATACAAGTAACAGCTTTACGTGCCTGCCAGTGACCTGTAAACGTCACGCCACACTAACACAGTTAAAGGTTCGCTCTTAGTATCACAGTACAGTTCGGTGTTGTGCACCCCAGGCTGTTAGTATGCTGTAGGAGAGGCAGTACCAAGGATGACTGTGAACGGGATGTGCTTTTCTGGTTAAAGGACTAAACCAGCAGAGTGGCGTTGGAAGTGCTGGCTACTGCTCTTTACCACAGCTCATTCAAGCATCAGCTGGTGTACTTCCCGTCAGTCACTATGCCTGCTTAGTGTGTGTTTTATTTTTTATGTCTCTGTGGCTGGCCCCTAGCTCAGAGATCACCTGCCACCGCCTCCTAAGTCCTAGGACTAAGGGAATGTACCACCATACCTGGCTTACTTTTCTGTTTTTTTGTTTTTTTTTGTTTTTTGTTTTTTGAGATGCTATGTAGCCTAGGATGGCCTCAAATAACAAATTTACTTCAGGCTTCTAAGACTTGTACTTAAAGGCATGAAGCCAAATGAGTTTTAAAACTTTTAAGAACTTGAGTCGGTGAGATGGCTCAGTGGGGGGAAGGTGCTTGCTGCCAAGTTTGATGACCTGAGTTCAATCCTGGAATATATGTGGGAAGAGAATCAGCTTCCATAGAGCTGTTCCTTGACCTCCACAGGCACACTGGCACATGCATGTACACACAGGTACACATGAATAAATGGTAAAGGAAAAAGACCTTTGTTCCCATTGGTGTTAGTAACTGCAGAGCAGAGCTGGATGCTGTGTCAGAAGTCTTCGGGACACGAGGTTGCTGGATGAGTTGCCATTTAAAGCAGCCACAAAGGGCTGTCAGTCAAAGTGCTCAGAAAGGGCATGGCCTGTGACTTGTTAAAATATGGCTTACTTGTTATTTTTTTTTTGACCTGTGCACAAAAGATTTGCCTCATATAAAACATAATGGTTTGAATTTTCATTTTCAATGAAACATGAAAGATAAAGCTGTATGTCCATGTTAAAATTCTTATTTCTAAGGCTATTTTAAGGTTAGTTATGGGTTTCAGTATGAATATCAGTAATTAATGGCATTAGTTCAGTAACCTACTGCTAATAGATGACATTAGATGATGATCTCTGTGTGTTTGGTATCTGCCCCCAGGTGAGGAACAGGACAGGGTGTGGCTTGTCCTTGAGACACAGGTGATGCGTGGCAGAGTTGAGCTTTTACAAAAGTTGAACTTTTGTAGTATAATTTACAGTGTTTGTGCTTTTTAAAAATGCTTACTTTTTGAAACAACTCACTGTAAGACCAGTTTGACCTGGAACACACTGTGTAACGTGGGGTAGCCTTGAACTCACAGTAGTCCTGCTTTCTGAGTATTGGGATTACAAGCATGAGTCACCATGCTGTTTTGAGTAGACTCTTGGTATGGATGGGTGGCCTGGACTGGAATCTGCCGCCTTAGCCTCCTGAGTGCTGGGGGTAAAGGCACCAAGGTGAGGGAGGCCCAGGAGGAAGTGCTGCAGTAGCAAAGCTGTGCTAGGGAGGTAGAGGTACAGACAGAAGAGAAAGCGGGAAGACGCCTCGCGCCAAGGGTCAGGCAAGAGTTCATCCTCCAGTTCTCCACCAGGTGAGTTCAGAATTCCCGATGCAGGGCTCTGATCCCATGGAACTGTTTATTAGTCCTTGGAGGGAGGGTCACGTGGGTATTACGTGTGTGCTTAAAAGAATGACAGTGACTGAGAGGAGGATTTTGAGTGTGGTCACGACGATCTTGAAGCACTTCCACCACGTTCTCTTGGGAGCCCTCCTTGTCTTTTCAAATTCTTCGGCCTGAAATAGAAATAAACACAAACTTAGAGTTTTCTCTCCATGTCCTGAATTTAATGGCACACTCATACTTAAGGAAGGCTAATTTGATAGTTGAGTTTTAACTAATTCCAAAAGCAGTCACGAGGACCAGGGGATTTATAAAATGGAACACCATGGCTCTTTGTGCCTGTGCTGAGCTGTGACAATATTCACACTGGAACCTTGAGCGAGTTTTCTCATCTTCCTTTTCCTCATGGTTTTACTGAAAGGATTCCTTATAACCCAGTTTAGAGTTTTTGTTCTAGACACCTTGCTCTCAACTGTTTTTAAAGATTCCTTTGTGTGTGGCATTGAATTCCCTGGAGCTGAAGTAGCAGGCACTGGAACCCACTGGAAGAGCTGCAAATACTCATAACTGCTGAGCCATCTCCCCAGCCCCTGTGTTCTCAATTCTTTGTTGTCCAGTTACTCAGTAAGTAATGTCATTTGATGCCAGGTGGGAGAAAGCATTGTGGCATAACTTGCCTGTTTTGCTGCATTCTCTGTGTGGGACAATGCATGGCGCACAGTAGGCTAAATATTTGCTGGAGTAATGACAGTTAAAATGGAGACAATACCTGACGTGGAGACCCCAGACTGACGATCACTGAGGCGGTGAACGCGGCACATCTAAGATGACTGCCCTATGAGAATATTGTTATTTACTTGTAATTTTCATAATTAGGTATTGTTAGGATTTGAACCTGCCATGTCCTTTACAGACTGTTTTGAACAGTTGTTCCTCGGCTAGTTGAGCTATTTGGGAAGCTTGGGGGTGGTCTTTGGGAGGTGGCACTAGCTATTGGGACGCTGGTAGAGGTGAGCTTCTCAAGATCATACCGAACCTCTGCTACTGATGGCTGAAAGCTACCATGTGGGTGCTGAGAGTTAAACTCTGGGTCCTTCTGAAGAGCAGCCAATGGTCTTAAAACTACTGAGCCATCGCTCTAGCCCTGGTCTCACATTGCTTTTTAGTTATTCTTTTATGTAGCACAGTTAATAAAACCCAGAGACAGATATTGGGGTTCAACCTGAAGGTCAGAAAAGCAAAGCAGCCAGCCACTGGCTTTTACCTCAGTCTGAAATGGTGATCCTGCCTCTAGAAATCTCAGCATGAGACTGTGTGAGAGCTGTCTCCTCCCATTTTATAATCCTCTCTAGTGCACACTACCACCTGGTTTCTATGTCAAACTAGTGTGGCTACTGGGATTAAAGATGTGTGTTACCAATGCCTGGTCTATAAGGCTGACCAGGGTGACTGTTTTACTCTCTGATCTTCAGGCAAGCTTTATTTATGAAAAAATACATATGTACATAATATGTATGAAAGTACATATGTACATAAATACATATTTATGAAATATCACTACACTTTTAGATTTTTTTATGCATGTCCATGCTTTGTCTGCGTGTATATAGTATGTGTGCCTGGAATCCTCAGCAGTCAGATGGCAGATATCTAGAACTGGAGTAAGAGACGGTTCTGAGCTGCCACATGGGTACTAGGAATCAAACCCAGTTTCTCTGAAAGAGCAGCAAATACTCTAAACCACTGAGCCACAACTTCATGTTTCTAATGTAAGAACAATTACAAGAGTCCAGGCTTGTGTACCTAAGGTACTATTGGTTATTTCTCTCTTGAGACTATATAACTTTGCTGGCCTGGATCTCACTATGTAGTGCTAGATGGCCTTGAACTCACACAGATCCACCTCTTCTTTCTCCAAGTGTGTCACCTGACGTGGCTTGAATCTTCAGTGTCCTGGGATTGTTCCTCTCTTATGCTGGACCTTTCCTTTTCTTTATCTTTTATTCCTTCTTACTGGCAGACAGTAACCCCAGATCTCCGGTACAAAGAGTGATGGGGGTGTAGGTTTCTGACAACTTCATGCCTAGAAATACCTTTACATTGATTTGGTCATTATAGAAATGAATTTAGAAGTCACTTTCTATCAGAATTTTTGAAAGAATATTTCAGTTCTCTAACTTCCAGTATTACTACTGAAAATGTGCCATTTTCATTACTAAGTGTTTGCCTTTTACTTTTTTTTGACTCCTAAAAGCCTTTGAAATCTGTCTTCCTTCCCTCCCTCCTGAGGGCTCGGGTTAGAAGCACACATCACTTCTAATAGCTCATGGTTTGTGTTACTGGCTTGGTAACACGAAGACTGGAAGTCGGAATGAGAATGAGGTCTGTCATTTAGTGGGATTCACCGTAGGATGATCTGGGGTGAGTCTGATCACGTCGTTAGTGGTGTCTGCCTGTTCTTCCTTTAGTCTAGGAAATTGGTTCTCAGAGAGTAATCCTTTTGCCCCTTGCCTGGATGAAAATGAGAGGGATGTAGGCTGGGAGCAGCCACTCGATTCTGACTCCATCTCATCTTAGAATGCAGTCACTCTGCTGCAGCTGCACTTGGTGCCTGTGCTGGGACTTCGGGGCTGCTGTCTTTAGAGCTAGTTTCTTGTCCCCTGTTGGGGAAGCAGTTGGCTGGATAGAATAGGGAGGGTGCTCTAGGATGCCCCTTTTAAAGGCTGTTCTCAGCCTCTTCTTTCCAGACCTGTCACACTCATCTACTTTTAGGGCTGTGTTTATGGTCTCTCCTGTTTTATGTAGCACCTTTAGAAAGACCACTTTGTGGTCTTTCTAAGGTTCTATTGACTGGATCAATCTGTGTGTTAATTTCTTCTACTATAAGTTTATGTTTCAATGTGTTCTGCTTTACTGAGCTCAGGAACTACTCATGGATTTCCTAGTTCTAAAAGTGTTGTTGATTCTCACCTACTCCTGCTTTTAATCCTTGTGGTTTATTTGAGTCTAGGGTATTTTATATTGGAGTCTGAGGAATACCTGGAGGGATACATTTAACCTGCCCAAAAATGTGTGATCTATATTTATTTATCTGTAGGAAAACTGACCACTTGTTGGCTGACTTTTGTTAAAATGTCAAATATGGGATTAGGGAGACGGCTCAGTGATAAAGTGACTGTTCAGCAGTCAGGTTCCTAGCACGCATGTCAGAGCTGGGTGCGCAGCACCTGTCTCAACACTAACACTGGGGGCGTGGGGACAGGCTGTTCCTTAGAGCTTGCTGACCAGCTAGCCCAACCAAAAAGTAAGCTCTTGGTTCAGTGAGAGAACTTGTCTCAAGAAAATATGGTGGAAGGCAATGGAGGAAGATGGGTGGTGTCTACCTCTGGCCTCTGCCCTCACCACATGCACCTGCACATGTGCACATGCGTGCACAAATCTGCAAAATCTGTTTTTTTTTTTTAATAGCTAGGAGTGGTTGCTGGCATATGCTTTTAATCCTAGTACTCAGGCATCAGGCAGGAAGAACTCAGTTTAAAACCAGACTGGTCCCAAGTTAGCTAGGGCCACACAATGAGACCCTGTCTCGGAAAAAAAAAAAAAAAAAAACCTTCTAAAAGGATTTTTAAGTTGTATTTGTGTGCATGAATATTTTGCCTGTTTGTCATGCTTTGTTCCCTGGGAGTGGAGTCATGAGTGGTTGTGAGCCACCATGTGGATGCTGGGAACCAAACCTGGATCCTGCAAGAGCCACAACTGCTCTTACTTGCCAAACCATTTCTTAACCCCTCAAATCTGTTTTTGTTTTTTGAGACAGGGTTTCTCCTGTGTAACAGCCCTGGCTGTTTGGAACTCCCTTGGTAGACCAGGCTGACCTTGAACTCAGAGATCTTCCTGTCTCTGCCTCCTGAGTGCTGGGATTAAAGGTGTGCACCACCATGCCCGGGTATGTGTGTATATGCACACACACACACACATACACACATATATACATATATAAATATAATATATATAATATATAAATAAAATATATATTTGAGGACCATTCAATGTAATCTTTACAGAAAGACAAGATAGAAAAGAGGCAAAACTAGTGTAGGCAGTGAGGCCGAACGTTGTGAGAACCAGTCTGCGATCCAGCTGGTGTCGTAAAGCATGGCAGCCCAACTTCGTCGTTGGCTGGATAGCATGTGCATGCCTGCAGAAGAGTGAGTGCGAAATCAGACAGGCTCCATACGGAGCTCCCGTCTAAGCAGCCACTGCGGTAAAATTCTCTGTTTTTCTCAGCTGCTTCTATTCCACTTGCCTCTAGTGAAGATGTAATATATACATGAAGTTGGGGTTTGTAAGGTAAGACAGTGAGGTAAAATAAAATCTCTGGGGGAATTTTTTTTTTTTTTTTTTTGCCAATGTTTTCTGGATCTGGGTCCCTTCTTTCTGACTCCCTTTTGCTGTTTCCTCAGCTCCTCCTGTGCTGGCACTTGTATTCCCCGTTTAAGTAACTCTGTACTCATCTAAGATACACCTCTTTGGGGAGCATTGAAAGATGGGACACGATGTTGACTTTCTGGCCCAAACAATAGAAAAAAAGATTGAAGACCAATGAATTAAAAATACACATTCAAAGTCTACCTGGAGAGATGGCTCAGTGATTAACACTGACTGCTCTTCCAGAGGATCTGGGTTCAAGTCCTAGCACCCTCATGGCAGCTCACAACTGTCTGTAACTCCCAAGATCTGACATCCTCAAAAAGTCTACCCTACCTCTAAAACAGTGTGATTCTAAACAGAAGGAACTTGAACAGTGGTCTATGTAATCCTGACACATAAAAAGGTAGCAAGTCTACAGGAAGGCGCGTGCCACCACTGTCATAATAACACACGACATCATAGTTACTCTGGTAGCAGCACCAGTCATAACAGGAGGCCAATGCTGAAGGGGGAGGGGCTGAGATGATTCCGGTACCGTGGGAAACGGTTCGGCAGTTCCTCGCAATCTAGCAATTTGACTCCCAGGCATATGGAAAAATGATTTGGGAGCTAAGTGTAGTGGTGCATACCTTTAATCCCAGCACCCTGGAGACAGATAAGCCGGCAGATCTCTGTGAGTTTGTGGCTAGTGAGTTTCAGGACAACTACGGCTACATAGAGACCCTGCCTTAAAAAGATGATT